AATATGAGCCCAGTCCAGGTCCAAGCCCGGCCCGGCCCACAAATTTACGGGTTTAGCCCGGCCCATTCCGTACCCTAGGTGCTAGCTTTCATATCTAGATCTCATATTGAACATTTTTTTATTTGGAGGTCGAATTATTTGCAATTCTCAAATTTTTATGCTATACCTGATCTTTGCAATTGGATTGGTCTATTTGAACGTGACTACTCCGCTTTAACGAACTTCCAACAAAAATTAACATTAAAAGCTATTTTATCGTTTGGGTTATGGCAAGGATTAGATTGGGGAACAAGGTTATATGTAAAATTGCCTTTCTGGTATTTTTTATTAGTGCTTCAAGCCAGATTTTAACATCTGTTTTCTGTATTTTTCACATTTTTCTCTTTTTTCATTTTCTTTTGTCGGTTTGCTATGATCCTTTGCAATTCAAAGTATTTAATGTGACCACTATATTTCATTGAATGTATTACAGATATAGGTCATGTGTAGTAAGTCAATCCGAATAATTAATTCTCAATTCACTACTTTGCTTTAGTGTTCCCCCTTTTTGATGACAGATTGTCAATAGTCCAAATCTCAATTGGCAGTAAAACTATTATTAACGTTAAATAAAATTTTTGATACTGGCTCAACTATTATAACAAAAAAACGTAAAGATTCAGTATGTGAACATATAAATATTCCTTGGGATAGCCATCATAAAGCGATATGCACACATTGCGATAAAATATAGACTTGTGAGTTAACACTATTTCAGGAGTTATCAAAACATTACAAGATTGATGGTTAGATAATAAAATTACCCTTTTCAAGAAGTTAATTCTACTAACCCTAACTAAAACATTGACAAGTTATATTTCGAGAAATTTGATTGGTCATGATCGACTTCTGTTAGTTATAAATTTACTGATACTGAAAATGAAAAACGATATAATGTCGTTTACTTTATCCGATACTCAAACTCAACGAGAGAAGCGTGAAAACTGCTGGAGACTTCGTGACGCATATTTCACATGTCTTGACTTTGTAGAAGCTTCCATTGCAAATAATAGAGGTGATGATAATAGTAGTATTACAAATAATAGAGGCAGTGAAAATGTAAAAAATAGCAACGGCAATAAGAAGATTAATATCATTGATTCTCGTGAATGTACTCAAAAGAAAAAAGAGTATGAAGAAGCGTGTCCTAGTAGTTGGGTGCGTTGCTATATAATTATTTTTATATATTTTAAGCAAAATCGATATAAGTTTATTATTAACATAAATCGAATTCATTAAACATCAAGATTATATATTTTCATAAACGACGTGAACTGGAAAAGCGACAGCGTATTCGTGCCATCGTTGCAAAAGAATTAGGAGATGAAATAGGCGTAGGCGCAGCCAAAAGTGCTGGATCACAGAACGTTAACAATTAAAAATTAAAATGATTTTGTAATTTAAAGAACATTCGAAGTTGCTAGGTATAAAAAATAATTGGTATTATAAAATTTCTTGTGGTCCAATTAAATAAGTATAATTGAAGAACGGTTAAAGCGTTGTGAATCATGTGATCTGACACGGGATAATGTGGCTGACCCCCAATTCGGAAGGAATCCAGTGTTAAAATCGCAAATCAATTTTCCGAAGTAAATACTGAATCGGTCATCTGAAGAGTTACAGTTTGCTTAAATTCCCGAACATTTTTCAACAATAAATTTACACCATTCGGAAGCGCCATTTGATATTATAGGCCGTTCTTCTTTATAGATATCTAGTTCGAGGGGAATAGATTATTATGTTATTGCATAAAATATTAATTGTTGTAATTAGAAAAATCGTTTAGTTCTTATGATACTATACTTAATAAATATAAAAATTATATTAATTATAAAATAATAATAATAAAATCATTTATAATTAAAAAACTAAAAACTTTTAAGAAGTATTAGTTTAGAATAGAGCCCAAACCATTTTTCAATAAAAAGAACTGTGTTCAGAATCTTCGCAACTCTTTAATACAAATCATGTGTTCTTTTCATCAATCTTTAGCCACTCTTTTAGTTTTGCTTTTTTTTAGATATTATAACTTTTACTAGTTCTCAATGCTTATATATCTCAAATTCACACTTTTAAAAATTTGTTGAAATTGTTCTCATACATTAAATATTAGCTCCATGTATGTGCTTATAAAATATGTGTTGGCAACTGGTACTGCTGGAAAAACAAGCAATAGCAATTCGAAAACATTTTTTCAATGATATAGGCTTTAATAATAATTAATTTTTGAACTAGAAAAGAAAACATAAACTTTTTTGAGAATTTCAGTTGATATCAACAACAGAAATTTTTTCCTATGTGAAATTCGAAAATAATATATAAGTTTGAGCACTTGCATCAAGCAAAGTAATATTATGACATAAGGTAAAAAGGGGGTATTGTGGCGAAGTAACGATACCTTGATAACTAGTGATCGGAATCGCATGAAATACTATATATCATTCGATTCGTCATGTCTAGATGAATCGAATGGTAATATTTTCATGTGATTTCGATCGCAGGGTATTGAGATATCGTCTCCGTATGCCAAAATTTAATATAAATTGGTGAAGATCTAATATACGGAGCAAAGATCTAACATACGGTGATTTTCAAGACGATATCTCGACATCCAGCGATCGGAATCACATGAAAATACCAGCATTTGATTCGTCATGTCTAAACGAATCAAATGCTTGTGATTCCGATCGCTGGATATCGAGGTATATTCTCTCTTTCAAAATTAGTGTTTTGAATGTAGCACACAAAATGATTATTTTTCTTTTTATTACTTGTCACATCATTGTAATTTTTGCATGACTTATACAAAATTTAGTTGGCTTTTTAGCCATAATTAATATATTAATATTTGTATTATTGTTACCATTTTATATGATTTTAAGCTTTGTTACAGGAGATCATGTGAATGACATGTGATATTAAATCAAGTGGAAAAGTTTATAAAATATAACTTCAAGTGAAAAAGAGAATACAAATATCTAAAGATAGATAATATATGTTCATTTATTAATTAGCTAGAATAGATCAAAAATATTCAAAGATAATTATGTTCTTTTAAAAGTTAATTTATATAATCATAACCAATTCCTCTTAACTTTTTATAGATTATGTGTAATATACCAAATTTTTTTGAGCACAAAGAATATTACAAATATTGATTATTGATACTTTTTATAAATTGATAGAGTTTCTATATCAAATATTGTATACTTATAAACTTTTATGTCACAAATACAGTCAAACTTTTTTATAGTTACATCTATTTATAGTCACATCTCTCTATAATTATTCAATTTTGCTTTTCTGAATTTTTAATTAATAAAAAAATCTTTATATAGTCACATTCTCTTTATAATTATTATTATTATTAAATAATTTTCATAATATATATTAATTATAATAAAAAAATTCCTTTATAATCATTATCTTTAGGTAGAATTATTTTATATAAAAAATATAGTAAAAATTATTACACAATTCATTAAAGATTTTTTTATACAGTTTACAATACTTTCTCATGAAAATCTATCTTTACAATGAAATATAAATAGGTGCATTAAGCAAACTTGTTACTTTTGCACCATATTTTAATAATATTAATTGAATTCACTTGAATTTAATAATTTTTATGTTATGATTTGTCTAATAAAAATATGTTTAAAAAGAAATATTATATAGAATACAAAATCACTGAGTCAACTAGATTCTATTCATTAAACAAAAAAAAATAAAGAGAAACTGAAAGTAATGATCTAGTAAAGATAACGTAAATGAAAGATATTATTTTATGTAATTTGTGTTATATGCATTTTGTAGAAAATTCATTAAATAGAAATACTAAATAAGTAAAAATCACAATTGTAAAAAATATTATATTTAGAAAAAAAATAAATACTATTACTATTTTTATATATTTTAAGTTTTTAACGTATTAATCATGTATTTTTATTAATTAAGAAATAAAAAGATTAAGTTTTTATAATGGAAAAAACTAAGATTTATTACTAAAGATAGGAAATATATATTTGTGTTGTAATAAATTAGAATAATATCCAATAACTTTACTAAGTTTTGTGTATTTATTTAAAACTTTAAAAGTTATAATACAAACAATAATTTTATTAAGCAATTATCTTTCAAGTCAATAATAATGATTTATTATAAGCAATTTATCTTTTAAGATCAAAAATCAATATAAATATAACTTTACAAGTTATCTAAAAGTTTCTATTAAATAAGAGACTTTTTGAGTTATTAACTACTTTTTTTAAGCTAAAATACATAATATATTTATATAAATTACATGTTATACAATATAATTAATTTTATTATTGTTGTTATTAATGTAATTAAACATGAGTATTTCTAATATTAACACAAGCATTAATATTATTGTTATCATTAATATAAGTATTGTTAGTATTGTTAGCATTGCTAATGTTAATACAAATCTAAGAACCAATAATATCTAATATATAATTATTTAATAAAATAATAACTATCTAAAAATAACTATTCAATAGAAATACTAATAAATATAATTCAATAATAATTAGTATATTTGTTATCCAATAAAATTATTCATCAAATGTCATATTATGATAATACTGTAGTTAGAAAACAAGTTATATTTAAAGAAGAGATAGAAATTATAACAGGAAAGGATATAGAAGTTACAAATAAAGAGAAAATAAGCATAGTTAATCTTACTAAAACTATTAAAACAATGATAAAAATCTTCTATGAAAGAGAGTATATAAAAAAAAGTTTCATATATATATTTGATAAAATATAAAAATTACTTCAAGAAACTGAACCAAATCTAAAAGGTTTCTTTAATCAACTTTAATTGGTAACTCATTCACTTAATTATAATAAGCAAATAATGAATCATATAAAAAAATTAATAATATTCATATGTTATCTTCTTATATTATTAAATAATATCAAAATTAATACCTTTAAGTTAATCTTGCATATTATTTAAATTCAGTAAGTACAAGCAATAAAGACTTGAATACAATGACAAATCTTGACATAATTATAATATCAAGAATAGTAGATTGCAAGAAAAAAATTTTTGATATGCATGAGAAATATGTCAAAAATGTTCTTGCAAAATATTCAGGAAATACTTTTGTACTGAATATTAATAATTAATATAAATACATGTTCAAAGATAATTTGATGTATTTTTAATAATTTTCTATCCAGTATTCTTAATTTGTATGTGTCATTTCCAAGTATATCATGAATGTAGTATGATCTTTTCCATCTATTTTCCAGTTTTCTTTTGTCTTTTAAATGACTTTTATAAAGTAAAACTTGTTCTCCAATTTTGAATATGTGAGTTTCTTTCATTTTTGTATTGTGTCGCTGTTCTTGTTTTTGCTGAGACTT